ATATTAAAACTCAAATTTAACAAGCTATTAATGCAATTTCTTAAGCAACTTGGGTATTATTATATACCTTACTAATATTATAAACGCGAAAGTTTGTAAGTATGGATGGATGTTTGTCTCTTTCACACAAAAACTATTGAACGGATTTTGATGGAACTTTACAGTGATATAGCTTATATATCAGAATAACACATATACTATGTTTTTATTGAAATTTATGTATTGTACTACTGTCCCAAACGTTGTTTTACCATATAAATAAATAACGCGTTAAAAAAATAGTGGTTGGTGATAAAAGGGTGAAAATTTAGGGGTGTATGTATTTTTTAGTGATGCATAGTAAAAAAAAATTACACAAAAAATAAAAAAATAATGTTAGGGGTGGATAATCCTTATTACTTAGGAGTATGAAAAATATATAATAGCCGATTCTCAGACCTACTGAATATGCATATAAAATTTCATAAAAGTGTGATCAAGCCGTTTGGGAGGAGTATAGTAACTAATATTGTGACACGAGAATTTTATATATAAGATTTAACGCGAGTAAAACTACAGGCACAGCTAGTACATTCATTTATAATTAATTACATATATTATTTTTAAATACGTTTTTAGTATCCAATAATTTTTGGTAGAGATTATTTAACCCGATTTATTTCAATTAAAGTGCCCAGAGTGACCCACCGATGGGCATACGGTCTTTGACATATAAAAATACCCTTCTTGAAATCCCCCATACTCTCAAATCTCTCAAGAAAACGCATTTATATATATTAAAAACTACAAATTAATCCGCGATCATATCGAGTTATCGAGATATGAATAACAATAAATATTAACTTGGTATGCGCTCGAAAATTCAATTAAATGAAACGATGTGTAAGTTATTATAGATGAACCGTAATTTTATTGAGGTATTCACGATACATGACAAAAAGAGGTTATTGTGATTCGATTATCCACGTTACAGAATCTCAAAAAGAAACTATTATTTATAGGACACTAGCTGCCCAGCTTCGTACGGGTGTACATATATTATACATATAAACCTTCCTCTTGAATCACTCTTTCTATTAAAAAAATCGCATCAAAATCCGTTGCGTAGTTTTGAAAATTTAAGCATACATAGACGGACAGATAGCGACAGCGACTTTGCTTTACGAGTATACTATGTAATGATCTATATATCCTATTAGCACATTATATTTTACTTAGGACTAGATGGCGCTGTGTAAATTGTGCTTAGATATTATTGTATTTTAGTACCTCCATATGTAAATACTGAATGTAATGGTACTATCTGTACATTCTTGTAACTAAACTATCTCAATATTTAAATATTTTATCATAAATCAGGCACTTATTGAATAATTTTTTAATCCTGACCTTATAAAACACTCATCATTTCATATATTTCATCATCATTTCATCATCAACTCATATATTTAGAGACTATATAAAGTCACAATTACTTGTATTTTTTTATATCCTTCCAAGGGGAAAACGGTTTACACGTATATGTACCATGAAGATATGAATAAAGTATTTATCTATTATGAATATTTATTATTACATATTACTTAATACAATATGCATGTATTAAGTACTAGCTGTTCCCGCGACTTCGTCCGCGTGGAATTAATTTTTATACTTATTTTCTAAAATAAAAAAAAATCTAAAATAAAAGTAGCCCAAGCCTCCTTATTACATCAGCTACTTGCCAGATAAAGTCCCGTCAAAATCGGTCCAGCCATTTTAGAGATTAGCCGGAACAAACAGACCGACAGACAGACAGACAAAAATTATAAAAAATGTTATTTTGGTATATGTACCGTATATATATTCATATGCATGTAGTAAAAAACGGTTATCTCAATATTACGAACAGACACTCCAATTTTATTTATATGTATAGATTTATCTTTCATCACATCATGCGCCATCCACCACCTGTTTTTCTCCTCTACCCAAAAGTTGATTGGAAGAGATCGCTTATGTGTTAAGACTAACTTTTGTACCCATATACTCTAATTCTGTTTTTTCTTGTTAATGTGCAATAAATAATAATATAGTTTATTCTTTTTTTGTTTTCCTCATTTTTCTTGTATAAGTACTTATTGCTTTGATTTTTTTTTTTTTACTCAGTACACTGTATTAAATAAAAGTCCAGTACAATCTAGTATGTCAAAAAGAATAGCGTCTCTTTATACATTTTTTTTTTTTTGTATTCCTTTATGTACACAACTGCAGATGTACCAAAAAATGTTTACAGAATGTTGGAGGGAACTGGCTTTCGTGACACAGGTTTCACCTAAATCGAAAGCCAGGGCTAACTATATTTAATTGTACCGTGCATTAAAAAAAAAAGAAAAAAAAATAGTTAAAATAGATAACACTAGAAATATAACCGCTAAAGTTTAAAAATAAGTAAGATCTTATCTATCTATGTAACTTTCCAATTATAATTCAAGATGTATATAAATTCGTGAACCGCGCCACACTCAAAATTCATTTATTTCCTACACCAACAAAACATTTGCGTATATCAGTGAGATGTTATTAAAATTGTTATGTTGAACAACAAACGCAGAAATTCACTATTTACATGGCACGGAAGCCTTCCTTGCTATTAATATTACTTATACACACGCGGGATTATTTAATTTTCATTATATTTGTATTATTTGTATTATTTTGTATTGTATTATTAGAGTACTGACGTACAGACAACTCTCTAGATAATATCTACTTATGAGTGTAATTATTTTGTTTGCAACAAAAACTTCTATATATTTTCCCTGAAGATTTTACCGAGATATATTTGTTATATTTATACATTTATTTCGTATCCGTATTATGATATATTTATGACTACGTCCACGTCCAGAAGCACTGGGTCCGCAGCAGTGCAGCGATGTCCAGTGTCTCTGGAGCGGACAATCCAACATATTTCATATGGTGTTTAGGAGGCTGTTAGTGCTCCCCCGAATTCTACACATCAGTGATGTAGTTCTATTACGCACTAGCTATTCCCGCGACTTCATCCGCGTGGAATTTAACTTTATTTTTCTAAAATAAAATGATTTTTCTAAAATAAAGTCCAAGTTACTCCTTATTACATTAGCTACCTGCCAATAAAAGTCCCGTTAAAATCGGTCCAGTCATTTCAGAGATTAGCCGGAACAAACAGATATACAGATAAAAAAATTGTAAATAGATAGATAGATAGATAGATAGAATATACTTTATTTGCAACGTACAGTAAAGAAGAAGCACAAACAATATAATAAAAGACACATGTATCGTTACAATAAGGCGGCCTTATTGCTAAAAGCAATCTTTTCAAGGCAACCTTAGGGAAACGGATTGAAACATCGAACAGGTAGGTTAAATGACATGAACAGGAGAAAACTAAAAAGTAACAAATATATAATGATAATAAAGAAAAATAATAATAAATATTATATGAATTAAAATTTATGTACACAATAATATTCATATATTAAACTAGATACACTTACATAAACTACATACATATTATAAACTACATACATAATTTTAAAGTTAAATAGAATAAACTAAATATAAATTAAAATGCCATACTAACTGAAATTTAAATATCGAGGAGGAAGTCTTTTACTTGTCGTTTAAAAATATGAATGGACTTTGCAGTTCTGATAAATACAGGTAACGAGTTCCATAACTTGATACCAGTTACAGTATAGGAATTGTGATAGAATTCAGTGGAATGCGAAGGAGTGGAAAGCAAGAGATTTTCGGAAGAACGTAATAACAAAGAATGAGTAGAAGAGGAAAACATGAAACGTTCTTTGAGATAGGAAGGAGCTTTGGGATTAAAAAGGATGTTGTAAAGGAATGTAAGGGTATGCATATCTCTTCGCTGTCGAACAGTAAGCCACTTAAGTTGGGTACGATATTGCGATACATGATCAAATTTGCGCAGGCCGAAAATAAATCGAATACATAGGTTTTGAAGACGCTCTAATTTATTGAGTAAATCGGAATTTAGGTCTGGATAGGAGACATCAGCATAGTCTAGGATAGGGAAAAGGAGTGAGTTTGCAAGGGCAATCTTAGTGGCCGTGGGGAGAAAGTTTTTGAGACGACGGAGTGATGCAGAGGCTGCAAACATCTTCCTGCTAACCTCCGTTACTTGATATTTCCAAGATAGTGTTGAATCAAAAAGAACACCAAGATTTTTAACTGACTCGCTAAAAGGAATACAGACGCTATCAAATATTATAGAAGGCAAGTCAGTGTAATCCAGTCTAGATGTATACGCAGGGCTACCTATAATAATTGTTTTGGTCTTCTCAGGGTTCACTTGAAGACCATAACATTTGCTCCAATCCAAGATCCGTTTCAAATCATTATTTGTCTGATTAATAGCGTCTGCAAGATTCTCAAGAGTAGCCTGTGAGTATATTTGTACATCATCTGCATACATGTGGTAGAAAGAAGAAATTTTGAGGGTAATCGAGCTGATGAAGATTGTAAATAAGAGAGGAGACAACACACCACCCTGCGGAACGCCAGCGATACTGTTACACCACGACGAAGTGGATAGATCAATTTTAACACGCTGCCGACGCCCATACAGGTAATTATGAAACCAATCGAGTACCGCTGGAGATATGTTAAGAGAACTTAGAACTCCTAAAAGAATGTCAAAATCGACGGTATTGAAGGCGTTACTAAAATCTAGTAGCGTTAATACAGTAAGCTGTCGATTTTCCATACCCGATCGAATGTCATCGGAAATCTTGACCAACGCAGTAGCCGTACTATGACCAGGGCGGAAACCGGATTGGAAGGTATTATGGAGACAGTTTGTAGTAAGAAATGAACTTAATTGCCAATGAACTAATCGTTCCAATACTTTTGACAAGAAAGGAAGAATCGAGATGGGGCGATAGTCGCTGAAGGAAGAAGGATTGGCTTTTTTAGGTAAAGGAATTATATGAGCCTCTTTCCAGCATTGGGGAATGGAACTAGAAGAAATGGAAAAATTAAGGATATTGGTTATGATAGGAACAAGAATGTCTGATAAGGGAATGATCATTTTACGGCTAATGCCATCAGCTCCGATAGCATTGGAGGTAATCGATAGTATACTTCTCTTAACATCACAGACAGTGAAACGATTAAAAACAAAAGGATTGTAACTAGGAGTGGATTTAGAAGAAAGACAATTTAGTGTATTAGTTTTGACCAAGTTGTCAAGACTAGAAGAAGAGGCAAAGTGATTGTTGATCATGTCAAGATCGAGATTTGCGGAATAATCTGTATTACGAGATTTACCAACTCCCATAGAATTAAGAAATTTCCAAACTTTAGTTTGGTCTTCATTTTCAATAGAATTATGAATATGGTGTCGCCGTGCGTCTCTACACATCATGTTGCAGTGATTTCTTAGACGGTGATATCTGTCTCGTCGACGGGTATCTGTGGGGTTAGCCTTAAAATGAGCTTTGGCTCTATTTTTTTTTTCTCGTATGAGACGAATATCATCAGTAAGCCAAGGAGCAGGAAGATGCTTAATTTTAACTCGACGTACTGGTGCATGGACGTCAAAGATCTGTGTAAGGAGAGAGTTAAAGATGTCCACTTTATCGTCTATTGTTACGGCCTGATCTATTACAGACCAGTCTATCTTTTTGGCATCCTCACGAAGCCCATCGACATTCAAGCCTCCAAAATTGCGTTGCAAAAGGATTTTGGGTTTAGGTTTAGGAGGTCGGATTTTATACGAAAGGTATATAAGATCGTGATAGGAAAAGGCATCTGCGCTAATTTGACCATGTTTCGCTACATGGCCGGGAGAAGTAACCATAATAAGATCCAGAAGGGACGGGGAGCAATTAGGAAAATAATGTGTAGCATTTAGAGGAAGTATGGACATGTTGACTGACTTAATAACATTCTGAAGGCGTCGTGCTCGAAAATCAGCTTTCAATAGGCAGGTATTAAAATCTCCCATAATAATATTGTGGCTATAGGACGTACTAAGATTTTCCAGTAGGTTTTCAAAGGATGGAAAGTAGTTAATCGAGAGATTAGGGCAGTAATAAACGCCCAGAAGAACCTTGCTGTTACAAAGAGTAATCTCAAGAAAGAGATGCTCAGCTGAGTTCGGAGGAGGAGGTTGTGGGGATTTGCTAATGATGGTGTAAGGAATGTGACTGCGGAGATAAATAGCAACACCACCATGCGAAGTAGAAATGCGGTCATTTCGTAATAAATGGAAATCAGGAAGAGAATATGAGGTAGATAGTAACGAAGGATGAAGAAAGGATTCAGAGACAAGGATAGCATGAATGTTTTTATTGTTACCAAATGTAAGAAGCATGTCAGAATAGTGGGCTGGAATGCTTTGAGCATTGATGTGTACTGCATTGAAATTATTTGAAAAATCATAAAATTCTGTAACAAGGGTATCAGTAAGGGAATCATAGGTAGCACTCTGAAAACTATTATCGCTAGTCGAACTTTCAAACGACAAGTAATCATCACTGACATCATTATCTACGGTTTCTGGCATCATGTAAAATAATCAATAATATATAAATATATATCATATTTATTAATATAAATAATATAAATAATAATAAATAAATATCAATAAAGTGTATATCTCTATATAGTATAATATAATATATAATTCAATAGTAATAAATTACCAATATAAACTGTATTACAACACAAACGTTACCCGCCAGAAGCCTTGAGAGATTATGGAAAACAATAACATATAAACATTTCATTACTTACTAAACAAAAGAAATACATAAATACACAACACCGCACTTTTAAAACCGTATAGCTGTATATTGACAGTACATTTGCTTGCATACTTGCTTTTAGTTTACATAAATGATCTTCCTTATGTGGTAGAAAAGATAGCTGACATAGTTCTGTTTGCTGATGATACTTCATTAGTATTCAAAGTCAATCGACATATTGATGATTTGGACGAAGTAAACGGTGCTCTTTCTTATGTTTTAAAATGGTTTACGGCTAATAACATGTTACTAAATGCAAATAAAACTAAATGTATCAAATTTACTCTCCCCAATGTAAGGCCGGGAGATTCAAAAATCACGTTGGACAATAAACCTATTAATTTTGTGGATGATACTGTATTTCTAGGTATCACATTAGATTCCAAGTTGCAATGGGGCGCTCATATTACTAAATTAGCGAGTCGACTTAGTTCCGCCGCTTATGCGGTAAGAAGAATTAAACAATTAACAGACGTGGCAACGGCTAAACTTGTGTACTTTAGCTATTTCCATAGCATTATGTCGTATGGTATTTTGTTATGGGGCAAAGCAGCTGATATAAATACAATATTTATTTTACAAAAGAGGGCCATTCGCTCCATTTATAGCATGGGTTCCAGGGAGTCTTTGCGAGAGTGCTTTAAGGAATCAAATATCCTCACCGTTGCTTCTCAATATATTTATGAAAATATCATGTATGCCAGGAAGAATATAGACAGTTTCAAAAGAGTTAGTGATTGCACTAATAAAAGCTTACGTAACAATAACAAACTGATTTTACCTAAATGTCGTTTGGCTAAAGTTAGTAATTCGTTTTATGGCAATTGCGTAAGGTTTTACAATAAAATACCAGAGTCTGTTATAAATCTGCCAGAAAAAAGATTTAAATGTCAAATAAAACACTTCCTTTGCAAAAAAGCTTACTATAAAATTGAAGAATTCGTTAACGATAATAATGTTTTTGTAGAAAAATTTTAAATACATAGCACTGACAATATTATCTGATTACACTAATAATGAGTGCGTAGCGATTTCTATGTTGATTGTCGCATGCCTCTTACTTGTTACACTGTAATTATTTATATAAAAAAAAACATCTATTAAAAAGAGCAACACACAAGTTTCTTGCTCATTCTTCTTGTGATGAATCTGCATTCCGAATGAGTGGTAGAATCAAAATATGACTATTCAAAAGTGCTTGTAATGAGTTTATTTGAATAAAGATTATTTCTATTTCTATTTCTATTTCTATACAAATAAATTAAGATTCTAATGACTGACAGAAGACTGACAAGGAAAGACGTCATTATTGACTATGGACATTACATTTGACACAACATAAAACAAAAAAGAAACAATTTAAATAAGGTTATCTGTGATCTGTGATCTGTTATCTATGAACATAGTGTTCATGAGTTATACAAAGATTTGCAAAATAATATTAATTTTAATCCTAATAAATGTCAATGTTTTATGCAAACACCTACAGTGTTTTGAAGACTCTAATTAATACATGTACTTGTAAAATTACCTACGATTGGATATACGAAATGCGGGTGCGTGATTAATAATTTTAGCTACTAACAACAAATCATAAAACAGTACAGTACATAATCATGTACAGAAATATGATTATCTCTTCGTTGCTGTGGCCGCGCGTCTTGTCTTTGTCGTAGCCGGCAGTTGAGATTGAGATCGAGCCATGGCCTGTGCTGGCTTAGCCGGACGCTGGCTCCCACCAGGCGCAACCGATGTATCTGTACCAGCAAAGTTATTCAGGTCGGCAGGACTAGTGATCCGATGTCGCTTCCCATCCGGCGACATACAGTATATATCACCCTCTCTCGTCCAGCAACGTGAAATACCTAGCCGGGTGCGGGCGTCCATAAACAGCTTATGGCGAGATGCAGTCAGAAATTCAGATATTGTGGTACCACTGCCTTTAAAGTGTTTTTTGGCAAACCATACTCTATCTCTCTCTGCCACATCATGGAACTTGACCAGAAGGGGACGCGGTTTTTCACTAACTGACCGTCCAATACGCTGGCATCTGCTTATCCCTTCTGGACTCACCTGACATTGCCTCAAGCATCTCACAGCAGACTCAAGAGCAGCTTCATCCTTGTCTTCAGTTATGCCATGTAGCAGCAAAATTTTCCGACGGCTGCGCATCTCCAGTCTGTCAACATCTTTGGAAAGCTGATTCGTAAGAGACAGCTGACTATTAAGGGTCTCAATGACACCCATCCTGAATGTAAGGAACTCCGATGCCAGAGAATCCAGTGTAATGGACCCGGTGGCGGGCGAGGCACGGGCAGCAACCAATTCAGCTTCAAATTGTGTCATCCTTTGTGTCAGTTCCTGTATACACTTGTGCAAAGAATCCATTTTGAAATAAGTTTCACGAAAGTCAAGTTTACGAACACGAAATGTTTATAATAGTTTAGTGAAACGCTGGATAACGCTTACTGGTGGGTAACACACCTTATATATACATAATAATTTAAAATTACTCTAAATTTATTATTATATACAATTAATTTAAAATTTATCAACAAGAGATACGTCTTATTATTTTCCAAGTCTACCCACGAAAAAAAAAAATTGTAAATAAATATATTTTGGTGTATGTACCGTATTTATATTCATATGCATGTAGTAAAAAACGGTTATTTCAATATTACAAACAGACACACCAATTTTATTGTTATTCGTAATATCTCGATAACTAAAGATATGTTATGTAATGAGTTACGGAAGGAAGGAAGGAGCTTAGGGCTGGTTAAAAATGAGACACGTTCCTAGGTGAGGTAAAATAGGTGTAATCAGCTCGCTAGCAAAAATATAAAGACCATATGGCATAAGAAAACAAACGGTATATAAAAACAGAACGTCAAAATATAAAATTCAAATATATTTAAAAAACATAAAAATTATCAAAAAGGTTGCCATTGGCAACATAATGTATACAATAATTATAAAGTCTTACTTTGAGAGAGGGTGGATTTTATTAAAAAACGCAATATCGACTTTAAGTTTAATAGCATAAAGTCGCATTCCCAAATTATACTGACTTACTATTTATTGTTACAGATGCGGTACATACAAAATCCGATACCTCCACTTATGAAAACATTAGATTATATTGACCCATTTCCATTCTAACCTAATAGATATTGAAAATTTATGCCTATGGGAATTTTGTATAATTAACAACCCACCGGCATCGGTAGGGCCACGTTAGAGAAACACAAACTTTGTATGAACACCTTATACTTGCTATACAAGCAGTTATAACACTAATGTGTACTTTAACTAACGAAGGCCTCGGAGGTCTAGCGGTTAGCACACAGCCTTACTTCCGATGGTCGCGGTTCGATTCCCCGCACGGCACAAACATTTGTTGTCATGAGATTGTTTGTGTCGGTCTGGGTGTTTTCTATGTATAATATGTATGTACTAGCTTTTGCCCGCGGCTTCGCTAGCGTTAATTTATCCCCTTAGGGGTGGAATTTATCAAAATCCTTTCTTAAGGGATGCTTACGTCATAGTAGCATGTCTCAGGCCCATCGGTTTAAAATTGACGAAGTTTCATACAAACTTTCATCCCTTATTTTATTCCCTTGGGGGTAGAATTAATCAAAATCATTTCTTAGCGGATGCCTACGTCATAAC